GGGTGTTCTGATTTTGTCGCTATCTCTTAAAAGAGGTGATGCCTGGTGACCTGGAGCTTGCCTTTCAAGAGCTGAATGGTAGTTTAGTATAAAAATAATTTCTTCAGGACAAGAGGAACAAAACCAGAGGCTCCCCGTTTTCAGCATATATACTGCCTTTTCCTAGCTACTAATAGTTCTGAAGAAGGGTCACTGGACCTGAAAAGTTAGCTCTGGTTTCTCTCCATAGATGCTACCAAATGTGCTGAGTTTCTCCAGAAATTTCTGTTTTTGACCCACTCCCTCTGTCTGGCCTTTTCTCAATAATATCAAAATACAGTTTTTATCAAGATGGCGGCATGCAAGACCTGGTGCTGCACCTCTGCGTGCTTCCCATCACTGCTACTCTCCTAATGGAAAAGCCCATTCCTAGCCTCAGATGGCAGCAAAATGTCCCAGACCATTAGATACTCACCCTTGCTGGCATGCCAAGTGTCCACGCTACATTGAGGCAGACGCGACTGAGTTGGGCTGGTCATGTAGCCAGGAATGCCTTTTACCAGTTGTTCCTCCATAATCCAGCAGCCTCAGGACAGGGCAGGGCTTTTACAGGTCAGACAGTTTGCTGGACCTCACGAGAGGTCATCAGAGGTCAGTGTGAGAGTGTTTATACTATCCCTTTCACCACTTCCACCCCTGTTTGCAGTTGTTAAATCCTTGACCTGCTGCTCTTCACACTACCTTTACTGCAGTTAAATGCTGGAAATCTTCCTTGTTGCAGTGTAAAATACTGGAAGCACTAATGGTTCTTTGAAAAACCACACGGACTGAGGGTGCCAGCCTGCAGAGTGCTGGATTAGGGAGGCACAACCTATCTCAGCTTATCAAAAACTAATCTTCAACGGAGAGCTCAAGCCTGGCTGCACTCTCACAGCAGCCAAAGGACCTGCTATAAGGACACCCCAAAAACATCACTTTAGTTCCTGGGAGCAGCCACCCTCTGGAAGCTTACCACAAACCTCAGACAATGAGCACTGTCATCTACATCACAAGGGACAAGCCACTAAATCAAACACACAAGTAACTCCACTGAGCAATATTTCCCTGAACAGCAATTCAATTTCTCTTACTTTACAGTCTATTCCCCAGAAAGAGCCCTGCACTAATGTGGTGACATACCCGTCTTTGAACAGAGCTGTATTATAAATAAAAAACTTCATGGCCTATTCTCTGTGGATACTTTATGTCATGACTAAAGTTGGAGGGGTGCACTAATTTCTTCCTCATCCCACACCTCCACTGGTCGTAACAAACTTTAAGTTTAACTCAAGTGGGGATGTGGTTAAATATCCAGGTTTATTATGAGAAGCAATTCCGCCTGGTTTCTTTGCTCACAAAGGATAACTAGGTTATGACAAAAAAAAACTTAAACTAACACATAAAGATTATTGACAAAGCTAGATTCGTGCTGTACAAAGTTAGATCTAACTTATCTTCTGACATCCCAAAATTAACATCAGGCAATAACATCAGTTAGCGTATTATCACATATTGCTTGTGGGTTTCCTTCACCTTTGCTCACAGCTTCATTGAACTCTTAGTAGTACATAGCTTCTTCCAAATCGCCACAGCCCCAAGGACCACTCCTGAGTCCTAATTCCAACATTTAGCTGTATCTACTGACTCTTAGAACCTCCTGCTGAATTCTGTGTGTACAGAGCTGTCTGCTTGCTCTTGACTTCACACTGAGCCACAACTGGATTGTTAATTATGCATCTCTTGACCCCCAGAGCTACTTCTTAATTTCTGACTGCACAAGCCAGTGGGGCTCAGATGTACAGCACAGATTAAAAGTTACTTTTTGTATGGAGCCTGCCTCTCTCTCTCTCTCTCTCTCTCTCTCTGTCTATCTTCTAACTCCAAATAACCGTGACCCCACCCCACCGAACTGTTTTGAGTGATCTCTTGAAAAGCTTGCTACACAGGCCACATCACTAATTGTAGGGAAGAGTTAAATTTAACAATCCAACAGTCAAATGCAGCAACCCCTTGGAATTGTCTCTCCCCTGAATGTTACAGGGTTTACTGAGTGCTGACACCTACAGCACAGATTACATACAATAGAAAGGAATTCATCACACATGATTCTGACATGTCAGTGGCTATAGTCAGTGCTGTACCATAAACAAGTTGATTTACAACAGGAGATACTATAACTGGAATATTGAATACTGTATTCAGCTCACACGTGTGTCTCACAGATCGGTTTGTGTGTTTTTCATGACAGCCCTGCTGTGTGTTCGCTTCACCAGTGGCTCGTGTTGATCTCTCCTGTGTCACTTTCTCTGTCCGCTGTGCCCATCACTCCCTTTTGTTTGTGTCTGCTTATCTCTGTGATCTCTCTGAAGACATGCGCCGTGACCGTAACCCATTGTGCATGTTGTGTTTTCCACTGACAGATCCAATATACCCCATCCGCAACCCCGCTGGGTGTTATGCCAATGGGCAGATCCGTGCCCACGGTGACAGGTGGCGTGAAGACGATTGCACCTTCTGCCAATGTATTAACGGAGAGCCCCACTGTGTGGCCACAGCCTGTGGTCAGAGCTGCTTGAACCCAGTGAAGATTCCAGGAGAATGCTGCCCTGTGTGCGAAGGTAAGGAAGCTTTTCAAATTGAGAATATAAATGTATTCATTCATGGCGAGCATCAAAACAAGCTTACATAAAAAATACATTGTAGTCACTCATGTTCAGTGGCAGCAATTTAATGAAGGACACAGATGGATAATATGCTAATTGATAGAATTGTGTAGAATTAATATTCTACTCCTCCGGTGGAGTTAATGATAATTACTCCTGGAAACCAAACTGCTTTTCATCAGCTACTTACGCTTTGAGTCAGACTTCATAGCCTTTTATTATGATGATGGGCTACCGGCGCCAGTGTGTGCTGCCAGTGGGCACTATCAACACAGGAGCACAGACTGTACCACCACCAACAGGTTCCAGGCCCTCATGTTGCCTTGCTGTGTGGTAAGGCTGAGAGAGAGACAGAGACGGAGATTGTGCAGGAGACTCTGAATTCGCTGATATGCTGGCCCATCCCTCAGAACCAAAAGGTGTGACAACAAGAGAAAGCTGAGCTATCAGCTCTCAGAGATTCTTGATCTGTAACCCAATCTCCACTCGGTCTTTCAAACTTCTGCTTCCATGCAGTGCCTGCATTCCAGGGGATAAGGGGTGACCCTCTGAGACAATGAAGGCATGCGGTGTCCCTTTGCCATCAGCCGTGATGTGGAAAAATGCCCTCAGCTTCTCCAAACCTCAATTTCATCCCAGGGCACTGCCCCACGAGGCTTGAGCTGTCAGTTTATAAACCGCTACCTACATCCCGTTTCTGCCTGAAACCTGTCAGAAACAACATAGGGCATAGCAGGAGGCATACAGTGGGTGCTGCTCCCAGAGGTCAGGGAATCTGATGTTGGGGGCAGGGTAAAGCCGGAGCTGATCGGAGGAAGGCTAGGGGTGCGAGGGCCTGATGCAGCCAAGTTCCAAGGCATCCATACATTGTCTAGAAGAGGTGGTCTTTCTCCTAATGCATCATGGGGAAATCTTCTGAAGATTAAAATGACTTACTGCCTCATCTTTCTGATGGTGGGTGTCTGGTGAGGACAGCACCAAACGTGCAACTGCGTCAAAAGGACAATGGATCGAAATTGTGTTCTGCTCCTTAAGCTGTCATTCATGGTGCCCTGACATTCCTGTCACAAGGGCCTGCCAACTTCTGACACCAGGGATTAACAATACCTCCAGACTGAGGGGTTCCATGGCTGGGGAGAACGTTGTCTCCTCTACTTTAATGTTCACCTCCCACCTCAGCACCCCTCCAAACTCACCCATCTTCCTCACCATGCCTGCACGAACTCTCATTTCATGACAAGGGGCTGTGAAATCAGAAGACGTGTCATTCTCAGCCCCTCTATGTGTTTAGGAGGGTTGCCTCATCTCGTAAAATGCCACACACACACTCACGCACATCTCTCTCTCTGTCCTTAATGCTGAAGCCTGACACAGAGCTGGTTCAATCAATGCAGCCCGTTCCCTCATTTCAGACGGCAAATCGGGAATCTGAGGAATGCAAGTGGTAAATGAAAAGTTATTTTTGGAATGGTGTGTATGTTTTCTCTGGGATCTTACAACAACATTTGCAGAACATTTTCAAATTCACGCCTGGCAGGTGGTTGCTTTGAGGCAGCAGGTTATAAAGGAACCTAACATACAGAGCTTGACTTGTTCTCCCTGATATCTGCGGTGGTGTAGATTTACCCTCTGATGTCTAGCGTAAAGTATGCTCCTGTATATCATATATTAATTTCATTACAGTTTCTTGCTGGCAGGCACCTGGAGACAAAGGAATGTAAATTAAACATAGGGCTAAAACTACCGACCACTCTTCCTGACTGTGTGTACACTAAATGCTGCAGGTGCTGAGAAAGGTTTGCAGGAAGAGTTCCATCAAGCCCAATTGATCTTAGTGGAGTCCTTTTGATCTCATCCTGCCAGGGTACCAGCCCAAACGTCATCCCTATTACAGCATCCAGGCGTTTCTGAAAAAGCTACAGTGCTTCAAGCTTCAACCTCATGGCAATGAACCCCAACTGCTGCTCACCTCCAAGATAATAAATGCTTCCCGGCTTTTGCCCTAAACTTGCCATCCACAGCCCTGACCCTGTGCCCTCCTCTACACTGCAGCATGCACGCATATTTGTCCAGCTTTCTTTATCCCATCCTGAGCCAAGTCCTGCTCTGGATTCTTAATGCTCTGAGGGTGCACTAGACTGTCGAAAGTCTTTTGGATCAGACATTGAACCAAGGGCCCATTCTCCCTTGCAGATGGATGTTAAAGATCCCACGACACTACCTGTGGAAAGATTGGGCTGGTCTCCCTGGTGTCCTGGCCAACATGAGCAACATCACAAAAACAGATTCATCAGTTAGGAGCTAGGATAGTGCATCAGAGAACCAAGGTAGAGCCTCCTAACCAACCTGCCTCTGCATCCATACTGTCACTCAGTACAATGCAGCAGGTGGTTTTCTTTTCAAGGGTCAAACCCATTAAAATCACAATCAGGAGAAAAGATGGATGACAGGACATTTTGTGACCCTTTTTTCCATTGGAAAAATACTGTCTTTCATCTGAACAATGCACCAGCTTCTCAATGTAAGATAAGTAGAACATTCTGGAGAAATTAAGCAGGTGGAGAAAAGAACAGAGTTTTAACATCTCGAGCCCCTTTTGGCTGTTAATGTAAAGGTCCAATAATCTTGAATGGATTAAACAGGTGGTCCCAAGCAGAAAATGAGGTGCTTGTGCTGAGCCTCACTGGAACACTGAAGTAAGCCTGAGACAGAACAAAGTTATAAAAGCAAAGTACTACACCGAGCCACATAAGGAGATGTTAGGTCAGGTAACCAAAGGTTTTGTTAAAAGGGTAACTCATAAGGCCTGTAGGAAAGTAAGATGCAGAGGTATAGAGAAGGTATTCCAGAGCTAGAGCCGAGATCACTGAAGGCACAGTAATCATTTAGGCAGCAAAAGTGACACAATGGAAAAGACAGCTTCAGGATTTTGAGTTAGTATTTGCATTAGCAGAAGGATTCCTTCTCAAGTTTTCATATTCATGCTTAATTAACAAATATTGTTAAAATATTTAGACGAAAGCTTTGCTGTCCATTGCAGAAGGTAACTGGGTCAAGGAGCTCCTACTTTTCTAGCTGACATCCTGAATATTTTCCTCCATACTGTTCTTGTCTTCTTAATTCCTGTCAAGGCTTTTTAAATATTTCAGCTGAAATACTAACTGTTAATAACTTAGTCAAGGACTTGCCGAAAGAGATTACTGTTCCTGGCAGGTGGGTCAGGACATCAGATTTCTGTCGATCGAAGCAAAACTGTGCCAGTTTAAAAGTTTCTCTTTAATGATGAGATGTCCATGGAAGACTCAGGATCGGGGAGAGGGAGTGGTCGGCAGCGCAGGGTTAAATGAGGAAGCTTGGAGGATGGAGTGTTGCTTACTTCCCTTGGGAATTGGGCATGTGTATGTTTATTAGAATGATACCAGGAATGAGGAATTTCAGATACAAGGAAAGATTAGAGAAATTGAGCATATTCTCCATGAAACACAGAAGATTAAGAGGTGATGTTATTAAGGTGTTCAAAATTATGAACAATTTTAACAGGGTAAACAAGGGTATTTTGTTTCTACTAGCTGGTTTGTCAGTAACTATGGCTCACAATTTCGATATTGTCAGCAAGAGATCTAGGAGTGAGATAAGGAGAAACTTCTTTACTCAGAGAGTTGTTAGGATTTGGAGTGCGCTGCCTGGGAGAGTGGTGAAGACAGATTCCATTGGAGGTTTCAAAAGAAAGCTGGTTATATATTTAAAGTGATGAATTTTAGAGAGCTATGGAGATAGGGCTGGAGAATGGGACTAGCTGGGTAGCTCATTTGGGAGCCAGGACAGACATGATTGGCTAAATGGCCTCCTTCCGTACTGTACAATTCTATGACTCTATGTAGTATAATCTCTGGTGAAGCGGGGAGGTGTGTTGGAGTTGCAACCATGAAAGGGTACATTGTGTAGAAGTACTCAGCATGGTGGAAATGACCATCCCCTCGGCCAAGCCTCCCTGTTTCTCAATGGCAGAATGATATCAGTGTTGGCATTCCAAGGGCACTGTGCCACTGAGCAATCAGACACGACCAATGTCTCCAGTTCCTTAGACATCACTGTTGGAATCTTATACCCTGACACCCAGTCTCTCTCCCACATTCTCTTCCCCCTGTAGGCAGAGGTTGTAAAATTGGATGGATATCAGGGGCTCTCTTTCCTGTCACTTTCACACCTCCTGTGGTATTTTGTTAGCAGTGGGGTACGTTACATACTCCCAAGTGGTCAATTAATTAGCTACATCAGGGCTTTGTACTGTCACCTCTCCCCCCCACCCCCCAATCGCACCCCGCTGCCTCTTCACTGAGACCTGACTGACTGGGTCACCCATCATTTTACTCGACCTGTTCCATCGTCACTGCCCTGGCAACTGCTGCTAAGACTGAGGAATTAGTGGTTCTCTAACTCTTCTAAGCGAGGCTTCCTGCCTCAGAGTCACATTTGACCCCACTTCTTGCAGAGGGCCCGTGGGTCTCCTTTCTGACTTTACAACCATTGTGGGTGAGACCAGCCATTCTGCATGGAACTCCAGCCAATGAGTCACCATTTAACACAAACCAGATAATTGATTACTCTTGGCTCAGTTGCACTTCTCCAGTGCAATTGTCATTCCCGAAAAGAATGCCATTCCCAGAAGCTGGGAAAGAACCACCCAATTGGCACCTCCCACCACAGAAAACATGGTGAGTTTCAAGGAAAGGGGTTAAAAGAGAAGAGAAGAGGTGTGGTTCATTTGGGATCTAGGCAGCTCACGGCTGCCTAGATGGACCAAAAGAGATGGATGAACAAGAGACTGAAGAAACTGTAATTCAGAAAGGGGTCAGGATGTAGAACTGGGGGAGTTTATAGAGATGAGGAGGGTGAAGTCTTGGAGAGATTTAAATATGAGGCTGAGTATATCTTTGTATATCTGGAGACCACCA